AGTCTTTCACCTAATAATGTTTTTGAGATTCATTCCTGCTGTTACAATAACAATAGTTTGTTCATTTTTGATTGCTTGAATGCTATTCCACTGAATGGAGTATAGTGTTGTGGTTTAGCGCACTGGACTGCAAAGTCGGTTTGAACAGCAAGGTCGGCCGTTCAAGCTCACCAGTCACTTCTTGTAAACCCTATACAGGGTTGCTATGGATCAGGATCAACTCGACGGCACTTAATAGCAGCAACGAATTTCACTGAATAAATATAAATTTATTCATTCACCTCTTTGTGGGCATTTGGGTTGTTTCAGGCTATTACAGACCATTTCTGGTATGTAAATGGTATTTTAATAAAGAGAACAGCAAATAATGCCCCCCTACCCCCCAACACACAACAGAGAAATCTATTTTTAAAGTAACATGTTTGGTATCTTCCAAGAACAAGTAGTGATCAAAAGAAGTAAATGAGATCAATCAATAAAAAGTTACTTCCTTTTTTGAAAAATTCGAAAGGCAGTTTTCTTTTATGGACATCTTGGCAGAAAGGGAGTGTTTTTCTAACCCCTTCATTTGGAGAAGGCAACTTTTCCCAATTCCTTCAGAGGTGTCAAGGGTGCATGCTGATGCCCTGAGAAAACATTTATAAAAAACCCCACATATATTTATATAGAATAGATAATTGACGGAAAGATCAAAACGTTAAGGATTCTTATTGTCAGTCTGGAAGAATGGCTCCTGGGAGAACCTGAGTATTAACCCAGCATACAGACAAGATTTGCAGATATTAAATTAGAATTACTCGTTAGAATTAATGATCCCCAAATGTCAACAAGTTAAAAGAATTAATCTTAACAGACTAAACTTTAATATGTTGTTAAGTGCTGTTGAGTCAATTCCAATTCATAGTAACCCTGTATAGGGTTTCCAAGAAGCAGCTGGTTAAGGTTGAACCGCCAACTTTGTGGTTCAAACTGACCCTGTGGTCCAATGCTTTTCCCAGTGCCACACCAGAACACTTGATTGCGTTCATGAGGAACCTGTACACAGACCAAGACAGAACACTTGATTGTGTTCATGAGGAACCTGTACACAGACCAAGAGACAGTTGTAACAGAACAAGGAGACACTGAATGGTTTAAAATCAGGAAAGGTGTGTGCCAGGGTTGTAGTCTTCCACCATACTTATTCAATCTGTATGCTGAGTAAATAATCTAATCTTAGAAACTGGATTATATGAATGTGGCATCAGGATTGGAGGAAGACTCATTAACAACCTGCTATATGCAGATGATACCTTGTTTGCTAAAAGCAAAGCAAACTTAAAAAAACTTATTGATGAAGATCAGTCTTCAGTATGGGTTTCACCTCAATGTAAAGAATACAAAATTCCTCACCAACCACTGAAACAATAAATAACATTAAGCTAAATGGGGGGTGAGGGGTGGCGGGGGGGAATTGAAGTTGTCAAAAACTTCATTTTGCTTGGATCTACAATTAATATTCATGAAAGCAGCAGTCAAAAAATCAAATGACATACTGTACTAGGCAAATCCTCTGCCCAAGACCTTTTTCAAAATGTTCAAAAGCAAAGATGCCAATTTGTGGACTAAGGTGCATCTGACCCAAACCGTGGTATTGTCAACTGCTTCGTGTGCATGTGAAAGTCAGACAATCAATAAGGAAGACTGTAGAAGAATTGATGGCATTTGAGTTATGGTGTTAAGAGAATATTAAAATTGCCATGGACTGCTAAAAGACCGAACAAATCTTGGTTAGAAGATAGCCAGAATGCTCCTTGGAAGCCAGGATGGTGAGACTTATCCTCTCACTTCAGACATATTATCAAGAGGAACCACTCCTGGAGAAGGACAGCATGCTTAGTAAAGTGGAAGATCAGTGAAAAAAAAAAAAAAAAAAAAAAAAGACTTCCAATGAGATGGATTGGCACAAGTGACAGTAGCAACAGGCTCAAGTGTACTAGTTGTGAAGATGGCACAGGACCCAACAATGTTTGTTCTGTGTCATTATGCGGCAGAACCAATTGATGGCAACTCATAGTCCTAAACGTTTGATTCACTATTTAAATTAGCCAAAATTATGCAACTTTACACCCTCATTTACCCTATATCCAGAAACAGTATTGCACAGTACATTTTGCAAAGTTATTAGTATATATAGATACTTCAGAATCTACTTAATGGCACTTAGTAACAACATATTCATCTTAATTTTAGCTAGAGAACTCATCTTCTTGTTGTGAGGTGCCGTTGAGTTGGTTTGAACCCATAGCAACCCTGTATAGGGTTTCTGAGGAGCAGCTGGTGAGCTTGAACTGCTAACCTTGCAGTTCAAACGACTTTGCAGTCTGGCGCATTAACCCACAGTGCCACACCAGGACTCCAAGAACTCATCCTAGTCACAAAAAATTTTAATAGGGAGTAATGACATGCTTACTTTAATATCTTTAATAATAAACCATAATATTCATCAAGAGGGTCTAGAACCATACTGTTCTATGTAAATTAAAATTTTCTATTGTTATTAGGAGCTCTGGTTGCATAGTGGTTACAAGTTGGGCTGCTAACCTTAAGGTTAGCAGTTTGAAACTACCAGCCATTCCATGAGATAATTTAGAGAAGCGAAATTATAGGAATAGAAGAGGACATCCTTAAGAGGTACACTCTGAATGTTTGTTTACTAAATGTACAAGTGGAAAAAGATCGAATGATCTGAGATCATTTGTGGAGATAGAATTGGAAGATTTATGGAAGTTATGTGGCAGTGGTGCTGCTGGTTTTGAAAAAACTATGATGTCCAGTAGAAAACAGTTGAAGTTCACATTTTAAATCAAAACTGCAGCAGTAACAACCCTTCCTACCTTAGAAGGTACTATGCAGTGGAGTCAGTTCTGACTCATAGCAATCCTATAGAGGATTTTCCACGGCTGGTTACGAATCGGGCTGCGAACCCTAAGCTCAGTGGTTCGAAACTACCAGCCACTCCGCGGGAGAAAGATGAGGCTTTCTACTCCCGTAAAGATTTACACCCTCGGAAACCCTGTACAGGGTCGCTATGGGTCGGAACCGACTCGACGGCACTTAACAACAACAACAACAGCCCTTTGCAGGAGCAGAAAGCCTTATCTTTCTCCTGTAGAAGGTCCAAAAGTTGTGCGTCCTGTGTTCTTGGACATTTAGAACAATGCCTATGTGTCCATTTGGAAACTCTGATTCTTTGTCATTAACTGGAATAATCTCAACCATGTTTCTAGGCAAGGTTAAGAAGAAGAAATTTAGCAGAATGATAAGCTTTTATTATACTATCATGTGTAGAAGTAAGACATGTAACGCCAATGGTACACTTCCAGCTTAACAATCTCACAATTATTTATGCTATCTAAAGAGAAACACAACTATGCTATTAAATAAAACTTTGAAATTACAGCAATCAATCAGAGCCACAAAACTTTTGTAGGCTATTTTTCCAAAGTCTTTACTTTGACAAGATCACAAAAAACCTATGTTTCTAAGGACACAGTTTGAACATAAACAAGTTGAAAACTATTATGAATATTCTTATAAGTTTCTAATATTGTACATGAAAGAATGGTATTTTTCTAAATGTTTCCAAGCAAAAGAAAGCCTGAATAACTCAGTTATTCCAGTAAGCAGAAACATAAATGTTAACAGAATATTAAATACTAGTGAAATAGAGTATTAATCTTCAACATAAATAAAATCATATATTTAAAAAAAAAACCTAAACAATGTATTTCATTAAAGAACACTTCTGTTTATGTAACATATTTAACACTTAAATTCCATTTATCCCAATCCTGAGAAAAGTATTTTTTCTCCTACCACCCCTTTATCTCACGCTCTATCAATCCAAACTTAATTCTAGGCCCAATTTTCTAGCTCATTTTTACATGTGGTCTTTTGTTTGGTTTTCTCAGCTTAGAGCACCTACCACAATCTCTAAAATTCACCCATCCATGCTAAACTAGAAATCACCTTCATTTCATTTAGATCACCCTCTCTTAAACCCTCAAGGTGTTGCTAAAATGTTAAGGGGAGGAGTCTGGAAGAGAGTAGAGGCAGTAATAAGAGCTCTGGCAAAAGGTGTAAACACCCTTTGTTTCTGGAACTAACAAGAGCCAAATTAAACTAAAAAGCCTTCAGAGAGATGAAAGTGTACTGCTACTCTGAAACTTAATCAAATTCAGGAATGAGGGAGGCAAACAAAAATTGAGGTTGAAAAAGCCTGGTACTTAGCAAGCGTCATCCTTACTGATGCCATGAGGATGGCTCTAACCATTTGCCTATTCTGGGAGATTGGGGAGAAGGGGAGTGTGCAGAATGAAAACATATTGTGTGCTGGCAGAAAACTGAGTCCACCACCAGTTCTGAAGATCCATTTTTTACTGGATACCAAACAGTGAACTTGACGAAAGTCTGGAAAGTGTTCATTCAGAAGGCAGCAACCAAGGGCACAGCCAGTAGCAGGCTGCAACAGAAAATGAGAAAAGCAGTAAGAGCAATGGAGTCATATAAATCACAACCGGAACAGTCCACTGCTGCTCTCTCTTAATGTCATTAATGTCCAGCAATTGTCCATAGATGACATGCCTCTACTGTCAGATGCTGAGCAAAGTGGGTAGAATGAGGTTATAGCCAATGCTTGAAATGTAGACGGTAGCAGCCAAGCCAAAGACCCTGGAAACAGAGAAGTTCAGATAAAGTGTAATCTATAGCATCATTTGCTTGCCTTAGAAATGGTGTGAACTTTGGCCATGAGTATGTATTAACACAGAACAGCATGAAGATCCTATTAAAGAACAGCAAAAAAGTCCCGATTTTGAGAGAACTGAATGTCCAGAGAAAAGATGAAGAAAGTCAGCACACAAGAAAATAGAAAAGCATTATCTGTGCTGTGGCCCAAGCACAGGTCTAACAAGAAATGGTAGGAGACTTTGTATTGGTAATATTTCCAAGGGCAGTAGTTAACCAGACTGGAATCCAAAGGGCCTAGGGATTTCCACTGGTTCCCTTAGGCGACGTCTGGGTCTCCGGGCCCCTTCACGCATCAAGTAGTACTGCAGTGGATTTGGCCACAGGTCTTCTTTGATAATCTCAGCAATCCTGTCAGACTCTGGAAGGCTATGGTCTGAAAACCAGGTGAAGAAGCTGCAGATGATGTCTTGGTTCCTGCGAATGAAGGACTGAGGTTCATGGCCTCTGCGCCATATGATGGGGGTGGAGAGAGACACCACTTGGCCTGTGGATCTGACCTCATATTCCTTGACTATCAGCTTGTTTCTGAAGTAGGGGTTTCTTCGGAAGTAGAACTTGAACTTGCAGCCCGTCCTAGGATGTTTGAGCTCCTTCACCTCCAGATTAGTTATGTACCTTACCATCTCGGCATCTTGGCCCCTAATCATGGCGGACAGCTGAGGGTGGTTCCGAAAGGCCGTGGCCCAGAAGCCAGGAATATTCTGAATGATGTAGTTTCTCCGCTCCAGGTAGTGTCGGCGCATCCGCCCAAATTTCTGCTCCAGATGAAGGAAGGCCCTATCAGCCTGTGCGTTCACAGTGTCCAGCTCCTGCTGAATGGCCTCCAGAGGGTTCATGCAGCGATCCATGTCCGGGGACCCAGGCCTGGCCGCCTCATTTGCCTCTCCCATCTCTCCACTCTCCTCCACCACATCCCTTTCTTCTCCTACGGGCTTCTCTGCTACCTCCATCTCCATCTTCTCCTCCACCCCCTCAGGCCTCTCCTCATCCACTGCGACTGCCAAGATGGCGCACTTTTCAGGATTCGCTTCTGCGGCCTTCACCTCAACAATCACTTGAGACCCGGATCTCCCTCCGTCACAGTTCTCCAGAGCCTTCTCCCCACCAGGGCCACCCGGCTCTCCACCCTGACAGGCATTTTTCAGGGTGCTCTCTGTCCCCGCGATGCAAGACGCTGTTTCCAGGCCCTCTGTGGGAAGTGGAGCGTCTTCCTTCCCCGCGCTGGTCGCCAGAAGACCGCGACCCTCACAGACCGCGGAGTCCCTGGGTGCGTCCCCCTCCGCAGGAAGCTGGGCCGGTGGGAACGCAACGGTCTCCAAGTCGCTCTTACCGGTCTTCGCCCTCACCTCGGTTTCCTCTCGGAGGCTCTGGCACTGAGGTGGGTCCAGGTCTCCCGGGGCATGTTCGGTAGTAGTCACGCTGCAGGTTTCGGGGAGAACGGGCTTCTCGCACCCGTCCAGGCCGCTCATGTTGGCCGTAGGCAACCGCCGGTGGGAGAACGACAACCTTCTTCGCTGAAGCCGCGCTCGGGATAAACAGGCTGTTCGCGCCACCCACTTTTAGTATCGCGAGCGTTTTCGCGGTCGTGACGTCAGACCTACAGGTTCGCCACAACGCGAGAATTCGGTTCCTCACGAGATTGGCTCCACCTCTGCTTGCCATCTGGGCTGTTAGGTTTACTTCTTTGAATTTAGTAATGAGTTTGGACGGTAACTTGCCTTCATAAATAAATCCAGATTGAGCCTATGTTCAAACCCAAACCACACTCACTGCCATGGAGTGGATTCTGACTCATAGCGACCCTGTGTATAGGTCTTCCAAGAGGGTGGCTAATGAGTTTGAACTGCCAACCTTGTGGTTCAAGCCGACCTTGCTGTCCAGTGCTCCTACAGCGCCACACCAGGACTCCATCATGCATCATTGTTGTTGTTAAGTGCCGTCGAGTCGGTTCAGACCCATAGTGACCCTGTATAGGGTTTCCGAGGAGCAGATGGTGAGCTTGAACCGCCGACCTTGAAGTTCAAACCGACTTTGCTGCATTAGCCTGGGGTGCCACACCAGGACTCCATACAGAACTTTGGTGGTGGTGGTGGCATCACTTTGTTGTTGTGAAGTGCCGTCGAGTCGGTTCCGACCCATAACGACCCTGTATAGGATTTCCGAGCTGGTGAGCTTGAACTGCAGATCTTGCATTTCAAATCGACCTTGCAGCCCAGCACATTAACCCACAGCGCCACACCCAGTAAGGTTATTGGTTTGAATTTATATTTTCTTGTTGCTTGTACTTGAGGAAAGGGAAATTATTTGCTACTTATCTTGATTAAAAGTGAAGAGAAGACTTTGCACCTAGTTATTTTGAAATTACAGGGAAAACATTTACTTTCCTACCTCAAAAAAAAAAAAAAAGGAAAATGGGGAGGTGGGGTACGTGGGCAAGTGGGCAGGCTGGAAAGAGTTTAAAGATACATGTCAGGGAGACCTGGTCTGGTGCTGTAGGATAAGCACTGGACCCCCAAGGTCAGTTTGAATTGCAAGGTCAAAGTTTCAAACTCTCCAGCTGCTCCTCAGAAACCCTATACAGTGTTACTACTGGGCGGAACCAACTGAGCAGCACTTAATAACAACAAGAATGGTTATCACTGCCAACAGCACTTAACAATAACAACAAGAACAAAGTGATTCATGGAGTCCTGGTGTGTTACTGTTGGTTAATATGCTGGACTGCAAGGACGGTTTGAAAACCACGAGGTTGATGGTTCAAACTCACCAGTCGCTCCTTGGAAACCCTATACAGGATCACTCTGAGTCAGAACCAACTCGACAGCAGTTAACAACAACAATAAAAGTGGTGCGTACAAGCCCTGTTATGGTAGTGGGTTATGAATTGGGCTGCTAACCTCAAGGTCAGTCAGCTCTGCAAGAGAAAGATGGGGCTCGAAAATCCAATGCAGGGTTGCCATGAGTCAGAACCAACTCCATGGTACACAAACACCCAAAGTGATGTATACAGTCCTGGTGTGGCATTAGAGGATAATCACTGGATTTCTAACTGTGAGGGTAACAGTTCAAACCAGCCATTCCTAGGGAACACTACACAGGGTCTCGATGAGTCAAAACCAAATTGAAGGCACTAATCAAACAATAATAAAGTGATGCATATTATTCATTTCAAGCCTTTGATTTATAATCTGTAACAAAGGAGTTTGTGCTTCATACGGTCTGCAGGCAGGAGACCAGGAATAATTTGCTAATTCTTACTCATGGCTTCTCAAAGTAGCAAAGATGAAATGATCATTTTTTTCTAACCCCATAAACAATTTATGTATTTTGTTTGATAAAAATAGAAAAGAAAGACTCCAATATATTTTCATGGAAGTCAGCATGTAGAGTTCATACAAAAGGGATGTTGATGTGTTTTGGATGGTTTTAGGGATTCTGGTATCCTAGGCCTCAGAGAAATACCAAATGGGGTTGGAACACCCACAAGCATTTTTATCAGGGATTAAAAAAAAAAAAAAAAGTTTAAGTGAAACAAAACAAAACAAAATTTTTAGAATTTCAACATGCAGCTATTTGATTTACATTGTAGAATAGGCAATCCCAGCCATCCTCTCTCCCATTTTGTTTGTCCCCAGAACTCCTCTGTCAGTTTGTCATTCTGTGACGGCTTGTCTGTTGCTACAACACTGGAAGCTGTGCCACTGGTATTTGAAATACCAATAGGGTCACCCAAGGTGAACAGGTTTCAGCTGAGAGCTTCCAGACTGAAACAGACTAGGAAAAGGGAGAAACAAATTACTTCTAAAAATCTAGCCACTGAAACCTTATGAAAAGCAGTAGACCACCGTCATATGGAATGCCGGAAGATGAGTCCTCAGGTTGGAAGGCACTCAAAGTACTGCTGGGGAAGAGCTGCCTCCTCAAATAGAGTTAACTGTGATGACTGAATGGAGTAAAGCTTTCAGGACATTCATTTGCTAATGGGACACTACTCAAAATGAGGAGAAACAACTGCAAACATCCATTAAAAATTAGAAAATGAAATCTATAAAGTATGACTCTAGGTAAATTGAAAGTTGTCAAAAATGAAATGGAACCCATAAAGATCAGTATCACAGACATTGGTGTTTGCTGTTAAGGGCTGTCAAGTTGTTTCCAACTCATATTGACCCTGTATAGACTTTCTGATGGGTGGCTGGTAAATTTAAACCACCAACCTTGTCCTTTAAAACGACCTTGCTGTACAGTGTTTGATCTACAGCGCCACACCAAGACTCCATCCTAGTGAGTTGAAGTGGACTGTTATCAGCCACTTTGAATCTGACAATCATATGGTTTACTATGATGGGAAACACAAATTTAAGAGGGATGTTGTTGTTGTTGTTAAGTGCTATCAAATCAGTTCCTACTCACAGCTACCCTACATAGGGTTTCCAAGGAGCAGCTGGTGGGTTTGATCTGCCAAACTTGTGGTTTAACCAACTTGTGGTTAAAAGTTCAGTGCTTATCCTACAGTCCCACACCATGGTGTCACTTTAATTGGCAATTTAAAAAGAGCATTTCAAGCCCTATCTTGAAGTACAATTCTATTTGTAATAGGCTAATATCCATATGCTTAAAAGGAAGAGCAATCACTACCACTATTATTCAAATTTATGTATCAGCCACTAAAGTCAGTGATGATGAAATTGAAGAATTCTACAACTTCACTCTGAAATTGATCAAACATGCAGTCAAGCTGTATTAATAATAACTGGTGATGGGAAGGGGAAGGTTAGAAACAATGAGGAAAGATCAGTGGTTGGAAAATATGGCCTTTGTGATAGAAATGATCCTGGAAATTGCATAATAGAAGTTTGCAAGGCCAATGACTTATTCATTGAAAATATCTTTTTTTGCACAACATAAAAAGCGACTATACACATGGATCTCACCAGATGGTATACACAGGGATCAAATTGTCTACATCTGTGTGAAGAGATGGTGGAAAAGCTCAATCATCAACCAAAATGAGGCCAGGGGCAGATTATGGAGCTGACCACCATTGCTCATATGCAAGTTAAGGCTGAAGCTGAAGAAAATTAAAACGAGTTCACGAGAGCCAAAATATGACCTTGAGCATACCCTACCTGAATTAAGAGACCATCTCCAGAACAGGTTTGATGCATTTAATGTCTGAAGACCAGAAGAGCTGTGGGATGACATCAAGAACATCATATAAGAAGAAAGCAAAAGGTCATTGAAAAGGCAGGAAAGAAAGAAAAGACCAAATGGATGTCACAAGATACTCTGAAACTTGCTCTCAAGTGTAGAGATGGTAAAGCAAATGGAAGAAATGAAGAAAAGGAGCTGAACAGAAAATTTCAAAGTGCAGCTAGAGAAGAAAAAGTAAAGCATTATAATGAAATGTTCAAGGAACTTGAGTTAGATAACTAAAAGTGAAGAACACGCTCAGCATTTTTTTAGCTGAGACAACTGAGAAAAAAACTCCAGCATCAAATTACAACACTGAAGGATTCTTTGGGCAAAATGAACTCCTGATGTGACTCTATACGATAAGCACTGGATTGCTAACTGAAAGGTCAGCAGTTCAAACTCACCAGCCACTCCTCAGAAATCCTATACAGGGTTGTATGGGTTGGAACTGACTCAATGGCACTTAACAACAATAGTATTATTGTGGCGTCTTGGTGTGGCACTGTAGGACAAACACTGAACTGTTAATCGTAGGTTAGCCATTCAAACCCACTAGCTGCTCACAGAAACAGGGTCACTGAGTCAGAACCACTTGAGAGCACTTAACAATAACTGTTATTGTAGAGTTGTCTATTTCTTTCTTCAATCCTATTAAGGTTTGATTTATATTTTGAGACTGTTTCATGGGAGCATAGATATTTATTAAGATCATGTCTTCTTTTTCAATTGACCGTTTAATCATGAGATAATGTCCTTCTTTGTCTCATGCTGGCTTTTGCCTTAATGTCTATTTTATCAAAAATTAATATTGCAACTCCTGCTAATTTTTTATTTCTATTTGCTTGATGTATTTGTTTCCATCCTTAATATTTTTACCTATTTTTGTCTTTGTGCTCCTACAGTCAGTATATTGCAGGGTCCTGTTTTCTTATCCATTCTGCTACTCTCTGTCCCTTGACTGGTGCATTTTAACCATTGGCTTGCAGTGTAATTATTAGTAGGTCTGAATTTGATTGCTGTCATTTTGTTGTGAGCCTTTTCGTGTGTGTGTGGTGCTGCTGGTTTCTTTGTTCCACATTTTTTTCTGTGCGGAGGTCATTTTGATTGTAAATTTTCTTGTCAGTTTCTTTATTGTTGGTGTTTATAATTTACTAAATCTTAATGTTTTTCTTTTTCTTGATTTGATGTGTTGTTGTTTAGTGCTGTAGAGTCAGTTCCTAACCATAGTAACCCTCTATAGGGTTTCCAAGGAGTAACCTTGCAGTTCAAATGG